TTTGTTGTCTCTTTGTCTTCATTCGCATTAAAACCACTTTATCTTGAATCCACCTGCTTCTCCTGGGCAACCCTTTCAGCGCCTGCAACCCAACTCCGGTAGAACTGTCGAGTACGACGTACACGTCGCGGACAAGAGCAGCCTGAGCGCGCTTTATCGCTACGCGCCGGGCATCGATCTTGCATACCCAGAAAGCGGCCTTGACTGACGCACCTGTTGGTCACCTCCTCCCCATCGACCCCACAGATCCGGCGCTGCCGTAGGTTGATCTTGCGTACTCCACTGGTTACCCCCACGGCGGCTCCGCAAGAACACAGTTTTTTTCACGAACCTCTTGGTCGACGACGCCGGCGTTCCTGTCGCCTGCAAGAAGAGACACAGCACATGTGAGTCGCGATTTGCAGGCTCCCTTTTCCACTTTAACCTTTCTCTCAGGCCAAGGAGTTAAAGCATGTCCCCTCAACGACGTGGAGACACTTACGGGGCCAGCCCACCAGCATACGTCCGCGACGCTCGAAGACATCGAAATTCGGCTAGCAGCGGACCGCGCCGCTCGTCAACGCCTGTCATGTCCTCGCCGCGACGTCCTCGTCAAAACCGCGTCGTTCATTACGGCCATACGCACCGTCGGCTGCCACCGCCCCCTCCAGCAGCCGACGCACCGTACGGGCGAAGAGCTGCAGCAGTGGGAGGCAGACCAGGCGCAGAAGCAGTTCTTCCGACGCGGGTACAGGCCGCCACCAATGTGTGAAGGCCGTATCGTCTATCACGAGTATGCCGACCCCAAGTATCCCGACAGTCGGCCCCGTGCATACCTGAGATATGTCTGCCGCTGTCTCCCCCTCCCCTCCGCGTTGCTCACGCCTTCTCACAGCTGCGAGCATTACTTGCGCCGCACCCCCGACCACTTCGCCCATTTTGGCATCCAGGACAGCGGGCTTGGACGAGGAATATATCGCCGCTGTCTTTTTGGACAACACGGACGAAATCGCGCGCATTGAAGGCGCGGCCGCCACGCAAGAAGTGGGGCCTCTGGCGCAATGCAAGACCCTCCTGAACCACTCTGCGCAGACGCTATACTGCCGTGAGTCGCCTTCGCTTCCACACGCGTTTCCTCGGTCATTAACCTTTTTATTAACAGTGATCGACCACCGTGTCGACGGTCGCCTCGCTCAACATGAGTTGCGTCACCTCGACTGCGCTGTCAAATTCCGCATCTGGTTCCCCGTCGACAAACACCGCTGTCCCTTTGTCCTTGTGACGTCCTCGGGCACCCACCGGCATCCCATTCCCCTGCCTGAAAAAACTCCGCAACGCGCCCACCTGCACATTACGTGCCTCCTCCGCTCTCTGCGACACGACCTCCCCAACATGACACCCCACCACTTCCTCTGCCATCCGACAGTCAAGACGTTCCTGGCCGACCTCTTCCCCGACCTTGCCAATCCCACGCTCTGTGCGCTCCATCCGTCTCTCGCGAATCGCGCCCATCTCGGCGCGTACATCACGCTTGCGAGGAGGGACCACTTTCCAAGAGGTACCGATTGGGAAGGTAAGGAATTTGCCTTCCATGCCCAGCAGACGACTTACCGCGGGTTCGATAGGCGTGAAATACCTCAAGACCATCCAGGACCGGGACGTCCCAGCGCACGAGCACTACATCCGTGTAGTCCTCGAGATCCCCAACGAATCTCTCGACCACCACGAGGAGGATGACGACGCGCCCACGTCGAGCAAGACCACGCGGATAATCATCTGCATGACGCCCGATTCGAGCAAGCGTCTACAGCAAGCGCAGTATCTCCAAAGCGACATCGGATTCAAGAGGATCGTCGGCTTTGACGAGTTCGAGATAGCGGCCATGGACCGTGATGCTAATAAGAGTGCATATTCTCCTCTTTTTCTCCTGCCATCCTCAATGTAAATTCTCTTCAGGCGTTGTCTTTTGCCGAGTGTACCTTACACGCCAAACCGCTGCTGCGCATCAGCGGATCTTCGACGAGCTGAGCAAAATTGTCGAGAAGGACACAGGGACACCGCTGCTGTGGCGCCATCTCCACGGGCAAACCCCCGACGACTGCCGCGTCGGACTTATACTGCAGTGGGGTGCCGACCAGCACCGCGGTCAAGCCAAAGGTCCGTTCTCCTTGTCTCCCCGTCCTCCCCGTCCTCTCCGTCCTCATTATGTGCAGGCCTTGGACTGCACCTCATCGCCCAAGCTGCTCTGCTGCCCCCTGACGCCATGGACATGCATGAGCCGCATCGCTCGCTGCGCTCGCTCACCCCATACGAGCATCTGCAGCGCGTTTACCGTGTATGTTGAGTCCACAACTTCCGCAATATTCAGCAATGCGCCGTCCCCGAGGTCGTCCGTCAAAAAATGCGATCTCTCGCTGGGTCTGTCGTGAGGGCGGCAGAGCCGGTCTCGGTACGTCCTCACCTCCACTACTTCTTTCTCCCGCTCATGGTCTCAGACTGGGTTCGTGACAAGGAAATCAGTCAATTCGCGTTCGCTGGCATCTGCTGGCAACGCAGCTTCATCCCCCTCGACGTCTGGCGCGTGGGCAACGCGCACACTAACCTCATCGAGACCGTTCACCGGGACGTCAATCGCGAAGGAGTCCACTGCACCCTCCTGGGCGGGTTACTGCGTGGGCAAGACTACGACGAGATGCAGCGAGTCGCGCTGAAGGTCAGTGCTCGGTTCGTTCCCCTCCTCTCCTTGGCCTTACCCCCTCGGCGCAGGAATACGAGGCGCACGGCATCCGCCGCTCCTACCACGCCGCCCATCCCGTCACGAATGCGGTAAAGAATGTGATACGACAAAGTGAGCGGGCGCTCTACGTACTGCGGGGTATTGTGCAAATTTTGACCTCACGCAGGCAACAACCAAGCGCATCGGGTAGAAGCACAGAGTCGGGGTGTCGCGACGCACAACAAGAACATGCAAAAATTCGACCAGCAATACCGCGCAGCTCTGGCGCAGCTGGAGCATTTGCTCCGCCTTGGTGATGCTCCGCACCTTAGGGAGGCCGACGCACAGAGGGCGATCCAACTTCAGGTTGAGAACGCCAGGGGTGCGGTGCGCTCTGCCTCCACGAAGTACGATCATCAGGTGCAGGTTGGCCAGCAGCTGCGGGACGAGGGGCGGGCGGGCGTGATTTTACCCAAGGCCCCTTAGGTTTTTGTGCCTTTGTCTTTTCATTCACTCATGTATGTATTTAATCTTGCTATAGCAGCGCTTGCCATTCTCTTCCCCGCCTCTTTCACCCCCGCAGCCCGCCTCCGTCGCCGCAAACCGTGCTGCGGCATCTTCCGGACGTTTGATCGCCGTCGCCCACATGGCAGAAACGTGGCGGAACGTGGTGTGGCGTACTCCGTCTTCTCAGAACTCTCTCCCATTCCCATTTGCTCCTTTCCCCCTACTCTGCAGCTGCTCTTATCTGCGGCCTGAGCCGCGCGCCCTACTCGTCCCCTGCTCCGCGTCGTCCCTACCTCTCGCGTCCCCGCCTCTCGAGCGCGATACCTGGCACGGCCACGTCAAGTGGCGCTGACGTTGGCAACGACTTCCGCCTTTCTGCCCAGCAACCAGCTCTCCGTCGACTTCTCATTAAGGCCCCATACCTGGGTCTTCTGCGTCCACGCCGTCCACGGTCCGCCGCGCTGCCCATCTTTGCTGGCGCTGGAGCGGTCGACGGTCGCAGGCAACCGCCTGCTCCCCCTCATCCAGCTGTCGACGGTAGCAGCTGCTGGTATGCCGCCCTGTGCACGTCGGCGTGCAGCGAACCAGCGACGGCGACCTCCAGTGGTGAGCGCGCAAGTCAAACGTCGACTTCTGCCTGTCAGTGAAATTCGACTTCCGCCTGTCCACGCCATTCTCCGCCGACTTCTCTTCCAGGCGCTGGGGTCGTCGAAGTCCAGCTCGTCCGACCTCCGCTGTTCGGCTCCTTTATATTTCGTGAGTCCCCCATTGCGACACAATTGTCTCCCACTCACGATGAATCAAACCCAGTACTACACGTTGCTCCCTCGTCCTCAGGACGTCGTCGCTCCACCCCCCCTCCGCCGCTCACCCGAACGCCCACGTCACCGCCGCCGACCTCGCCGCCGCGTCCGCCAACCTTGTCAACACCGCCGCTGCCACGGTCCTGCAATGGGCCCCCCCCCAATGTCGTCCCCACCGCACCCACTCACCACTGCCTTCAGGGCCGCTGCGACATCTGCAACGCCCAGCACCTTGTCGTTTTCCAAAACGCGCACGGTCCTAATGGGCTGCACACTGGGCCTCTCCCGCACTGGCGCACCTGCACACCGCCCTTCTGCCCCGAGCACCCCGGCATCGATGTCTTGACGGGCAAGGTCTTCTATGTTGCCCTCCCTGCCCGCCACGAAGCCATTTACACCTCCGCGTAGGTTTTTTCTTCTTCTCATCTTTGATTTCTGCTCACCCTTTCTTTCAAGCCAAATGGCCCGCGAGCAAACCGAGGGCGTCCACAACGGCGTCGCCAAGTCCTGCAAGACCTGGGACGAGGTGAAGGGACATTGGGTCCTCGGCTGCCTCCGCTGGCACGGCAACGAGTGCCGCCGTGAGCGTCTTCAACGCGCTGACGCGACGGGCAAGAACTGGGCTGTCCTCGGCACGGACATCGTCTGCGGCTCCAGGTGATTTTTTTTTCCCTCCGTCGGACCCTGCTAACCATTACTTTCAGAGCGGCCGCCTTCCGCGTCGCCCAAGACCACGGGTTCGACGACATCCGCATTCGCAGCCACCGTGACGTGTCCGTCCTCCGCAACTGGTTGGAAAACGGCAGCAGAGACGAGGAGTCCTCCGACGACGACTAGCGGGAGGGAGGGTGGGCCGATGTGTAATATCTACCGTTTTTCTGTACGCGCCGTATGAAATACTTTCTTGTATCGCATGTTTCTGGGCTTGTTTTTTTTAAATGCAAAATTTCTTTGTTGATCAGAACTAGTTAATGTAAAGTGCACGGTATTGCAAGGGCTCTCTGGCGTATTGGTACCGCTTCATTGGCCATTTTTCTGTCTCTCGCATCGCTCGATGCTGGGGCCGGTTCAATCCCGGCGGGAGCCATCCATCCTCCATCGTTACATTTTGCCTGCACCGACACATTTTTTTTTTGCTTAGCTTACTTAGCCTCCAGTACGAGACCACTGTATGTCTTCTTAGAATACATCAATAGCATACTTTGTTTTAGCATTCAATTTGGAGATGCTCGATACAGGTGGTATGGACAATAATACATATGTGGGAGAGGTGGAGGCGCGTTCCTGCGACTTGGGATCCAAAAGATCTGAGGTGCTTGGTGCACGGAACCAGCGGTACCTGCGTAAGGCACGGGATAGAAGGAAGACAATGAAAAAAAAAATTGGGGGCATACCTCTGAACATTTGAGCGCAGGCGGGGCGATGCGCAGCAAGGAAGTCGAAGGCGCATTTGCGGGCAATTGTTGTCAACGTTCGCCCACAGCGCTCATCGTCAATCCACTGCGCACCATCTCGTCCAGCGTAGCAGACCCACCACCTTGTCGCCCCATCTCTTCGCCGCCTACCTGTCGCTGCGGTTGTTCACAGCGCGCTCGTTGTTCACGTACTCATCGCCGCCGCCCGCTCCTCAGCCGCCGCGCTCGTTCTCTGTTTGCACCTCTTCGTCCGTTGCACTCGTCGTTCACGGCGCGCTCGTCTTTCGCCGCTCTCACTCTCTTCGTCCCTTGCACTCGTCGTTCACGGCGTGATCGTCTTTCACCGCACATCTTCGCCCACGTTTACCGCGCATCGTCCTCGAATGGCGCGAAGCCGCCGCTTGCGCTTGGCGCCCTTTTCCGCTGCGCGCGCCGCTGCCGGTCCGCAACCGGCATTCGGGTCGCTCGCTCATCTGTGCGTTCCAGGTCGCCTCCCGGCGGCGGGTGAGTGCTAATTTCTTCAGGACGAATCCCTATTCCGACGCGGATGGTGTGGCATATTTTCTGCGACGCGACAATCAAGCCATCCGCCGGGCCTACAAGAAAGGGTTAGTTTCTAGGTCTGCCTACCTCGCGGCCAGGGAAGTGAAGGTCGGGCATTCCAAGAACTTTGCGCGACGTCGGCGCGGGTATCGCAAGTGCGAAAAGGAGTGGAAGTTAACCTGGATATGTTCAATTCGGACTCCGACGCGCATGTTAATCGGTGCGTACCTTAGGTCCTTTCCCCGCTATGCTATTGACGCGCGCCGCAGAGGCGTTGATATAGAGTGTTGGTTTGGTTGTTGTGTGTTGGTTTTGTGTTCAGTGGTCATTTTCATTGTTCTTGAAGCCCACTATTCAGCTTTCACCCGCGCCTCGAGTGTCGGCCGTTCATCGTCGGCGTACAGCAGGAGTTGCCAGTTCCAGTTCTTCTTCAGCCTCGCGCAGCTCGATAAGAAAATTTTTGTCTTCACTGTTGGAGTCTGAGTCCAGTTTGACGGGATAGTTTTGGGGAGAGCGAGGAGTGAACGGAGGGGGAGAGCGAGGAGTGAACGGAGAGGTGTCGCGCTCGAGCTTCAGCGTGAGGGTGGCAGGGTTGGATTGGGAGGACATGGCTGCAGTAAACGAAAGAGAGGTGATGGGATCACGTAGCACCGCCACTTTCTGACTTTGCCAGCAACCACCATTGTACTCGGCCACAGTGCGTGCGGAGGACCTTACCACAGGCCCACGTTTTGTGCTGTGGCTGGCGAACCCGAGGGATGTCTGGCGCCGCTACAGCCAAGACTACGCAGGTGCGCAATTTTTTCTCTGATCTTCAAAACCGACCCTCCACAGATCTCTCTAGAAAAAAAGAAGACGATATGGGCACGTTACCTAGCGCAGCTAAACCGCAGCCAACCCAGTGCTTGTTACACTACCACAACCACTACAATGTCTGCGACCCCGACCATCAGCCTGTGCAGCGGTGAAAAAGCCAGAGAGTGGCCGAAGCCGAAAGCGCGCACCGACTTAATCCACCCACAAGTGTATAAGCCCCTCGACCCGCTACCGGGCCACGAAGACTGCAGCTTCGACTTTTACCCCCACGACAATTTTCTCGGGCACAAGTTTCAAGACTCGGATGGACGCAAAAGATATTTTACAGCGGCTGAGGGGCGGGATGGGCCCATCACAATTTACACAGAGTAGAATGTCCTCCTGCCCTCCTTCCATCATACTCGCAACGAAGACACATTGCTTTTGACCTTATTCAGTGTGATATTGAGTAGTCCAGAGGTCCGATAAGAAATCAGTATCACACACTGGTGACATTGATCACCTACCGGCGACCATTGACCCCCACCGGCGATGATTATCACCTACCTGGGACGCTGTTGGCACGAGAAGAAACAAAACATACTACTGGATCCGATATTGTTGAGCGGTCTTGAGCGATCAGAAGCTGGAGTATGCCAGGGTGCAGGGAGCAGGACATTTTTCCCTTGTGGCAGGAAAAGCATCGCTTGCCCAGGCCGCGCGAGATGCAACGCTGCCCCCTGGTGGCGCAATTGGTACAAATATAGAAAGTCTAGGAGGAGATTTAATTATCAGTAAAGGTTTTTGAAAAAGAAAGACATGGAACGTACCATATGTCCCTCAGGGACGATGGTTGCATCATGCACTACAGCAGTAGGGACCTTCTCGACCGCGACGTGCGGGGCGAGGACGCCACCCTGCGGGTGATCTATCAAACCTGAAAATGAAACTATTAGTACCAGCAGCCAGGAGAAGAGATGAGGACGTACGAGGGTATACTTCGACCGCCGCGTCGAAACCATCGGACACGTATCCCGTCTCATGAGTGTGCCGAGCATAAGCTTCAAGATCCGCCGCTTGGTCAAAGTGGTGAGTGTTCTTTTTGGGGCGAGGAGCTTCCTTGACCTCCGGCGAAACACTAGAAGAGAACAATCAGGAATTGTTAGGCGAAAATTGAAAAGAACAATAGGGGACTTACGATTCAGAAACGTGGTGTCGACGGCTAGCAAGCGTGGCAGCCTTACCCGTCGGTTTGGGTTTGGGGCGCTCCGCAGCGGGAGGTGAACGTTGACGACGGGACCATAAGAAATAGTCGTCAGTAAGGAAGAATGGTTAGAAGAAAATTTGTGGCTTACCGATGATGGCTGCAGAGGAGGCGTATCGGGCACCACGGAAGGCGACTGATAACAAGCCTTCTTGGTGGGCGGTGGCGCCTCAGGCTCGTCATCACTTGACGTGAATTGCAAGTGGGCGGGTATTTCCGGCAGGTTGAAAGAGGAATCGGGCAACGATGGGACGAAAGTCTGCAAAAAAACAAGTGTCAGAAGAATCGTGAAAAAGAGAAGTGGAGTGAACGAGCTTACTTCAATCTCCGCACGACGGACGCGGTCGTTGGGGACCAAGTTGTACAAAGTCGGGAACTAGGTCTTCCACGAGTACTCAGGGTATGCCTTTTCACCTCACGAACCGCAACCCAGACCGATAGGAGGAAGGCCTCGATTTCGATAGGACCGGTTTCGGTGTCCTTGCGGAAACGACGCTGTGAAAACCAGAATCCGTCAGGTGCAAGTAATGCAATAGAAAGAAAAAAAAAAGGACGCATAGCATGACTTGTTCAGCTCCTACGAAGAGACTTTGCAGCTGCGCTGAAGAACGACGAGCCACCGCACCGGTCGTCAACAAAGGGAGAAGGGCCTGCACCGGGGGGCAAATGAGGGGCGCCCATAGCGCCTTGACTTGTGCTGGGGTGTAAGACGGATGGAGGACCGGCTTGGCCACCACCGCCTTACTTTTCTTGTTGGCTTTTTGAGGAGGCGTGATAGTGACACTACGCGCTGAGGCGGGACGAAGTTGATAGTGAGGGTGTTGCGCCAGCGAAAAAGAGCAGCGGGTGGTGAGAGTACAGAAGCAAGAGGGAATAGGCTGCAGAGACCCTGGACCCACGACATCAGGAAGTCAGAAAGAAACTTTAGATGAATGAAAAATGGAAGCTCGTCTAGCCAATTGAATTGCTAAAAATACTCCGCCTCAAGGCCACTGAAGTTGATATATCTAGGAACGCCTCACAGCATTCAATCAGGGATGATGAATGCCTAGCAAGGACAGCCTAGCCAAAAAAAAAATAGAGAAGAAGCCTAGGAGGGTGAGACTCTCCTAGGAAGATAGAGGTCTAAAGAAGGATTGTGTCACGAATGCCCCTATAATGGCAGGTGGCAGATCTTCAATTAAGATGCCGTAAGAAGGACGGGCTTCTAAACATGGAGGCAAATCGGGTCAATTAAGATAAGATTGCGCTTATTAAATGGACTCACGGTTGAACTGGGCTTTGTCGGCTATGAAAAATATCAGTCAGTAAACGGGTTCAGCAATACAATAAAATCGTTCGATGAGGAAGATGGGCAAAAACATAAAAAGTATCCGACAGGCGCTATCAGCCCTAGGACCACTAAATATTGAGGTGAATGGCGCCTGCAAACAACCGGGGACGGTTGAGATTTAGTGAGGGGGAGATGAGACGGCCCAGAAACATGTACGGGCATAAGTCGTGCATTTTTGCGTTTCTTCAGCACACTTATTGCTGGTAGGACTATGAAATGCACCTCTAGGCTAATGTAATCAAGCCTAGGGTCCTCTACGCGGTGATACAAAGAGAATCAGAGTGAGGTCTGAGCTGCTGGTTGTAAATGTCCAAGATGCAAAAGCTAGACTTCCTGTTAAGGATGTATAACAAAACGCCTGGACCATCAACGAAGAACTTGAATTGCTACCAACAACCAGACTGTATAAACACGACAAACAAGGGATACTAGACGGACTGGGGTGCAGGATATCGGTGTTAGACAATGGCTAGGCAGGCACGAGGCTCGCTAGACATATCTAATGTCAGTTAAAGACAGGCTAATAAGGGTTGGGGAACGCCTAGGCCTCGAGACTTGAGATCGGACAAAGATCTTGTAGTCCTTCAGATCAGAGTGAACCAAATCAAGAGGAGCCTTGAAACGATGTCCAGTGGAAGGAAAAGAACCAGCGTTCAGTTTCCCTGCAAGACAGGGCTCGCAAATCGGATCTGGCTTCTGGGTTGAAGTGAGCTTCGCACCAGTGATCAGACCCTTGC